CATCAATTTTTGCTTCTGATTTGACTCTGACTTAATTTAGCCAGGGTAATTCTGAAACTTATAAATTTATAAAAATAAATGAATTATAACTCAATAATTATTTTTATACTTTTTGATTTTTGAAAGATACCAACAATTTTATTTATGAACGACAGTGTTTTTGCGAATGGAATCTTTAGAATTCAAGACATTGCTAATTGTTAATTTAAAAAACAGTAAAATTAAGTTTAAGAGAGTTTATAATACAGTAAGAAAATATGTAAGAGAAATAAGAAATTCGAAATTATACAAACAATTTTACATATAAATTTATTGAAATGAATTAAACAGTATTTAAAATTAGAAACAAATGTAAAAGTTACAATGAACTGTCGAAATCGATCTAAAAACATTTAAGTAATAAAATGTTTATTGTTGAATTAGGTCGTAACAGCTTCAATTGTGTAAATTTTCCATAACATTCACCTTATTATTTAGTAAATGTTTACGTATGTATAACAAATTCGCACTGTATTTAAATGAACTTTTATAACAGTTTAATAAAATTTGTTCGGTAATAACAAATAAATTTACAAAATTTATTTTCGATTAATAATTTTAAAAATTTATTTATATTTTTTTGCAAAAAATTTCCTAAAAAATATTCTTTACATAAAAACGTCCCCAAAAACTTCCTCATGGAAAAAAATTTATTTAAAATTTTTAATTCAAAACAAAAAAAAAATATTTGTGTCAAATGTAAAATTTCGCGTGAAAATCAGATTTTTAATTTAAATTTTTTTTTATATTGAAAAATAAAAAAAAATCGAATAAAATTTTTCTCGTAAAACTTTTTATTTATTTGATTTTTTTTCCACAACATTTAAATTTATTTTCACCTTTCAAAGAAGAAGCCAGGGAGGGCGCTGAACTCAATTTAAAATAAAGAAAAAAAAAAATATAATCAACTACTTATTTTTCATTTTCAATAAAAAAAAACTTATCAACGCCATTTTTTTTCGTGTTTATTTTTTTTTTTACAAAAAACTTTTATAACTAACTTTGTAACTTGCTTTTTTTTCCTTCTGATTTTTTTTTTTATTTTTGTTTTTAACTCTTATGCTCCAATTACTTTTGTTTCATTTAGTCTGGATTCAAATCTTTAGTTTTTATTTAGTTTCGTTTTTTTTTTTCGGTGTTTCTTCTTTCCCCGTTTCATATAGAATATTTTTCTATTAACTTCAGTTCGTTACTTTTTATACAAAACGAAAAAAAAAGTTCAAAACAAATAACAAAAAAATTTTTTTTCAAAATGCAATAGCGAAATCCTATAAGTAAATTTACATAGGGAAAAAATAGCTATTGCAAATATTAAAAAAAAAAGGATCTAAAGAAAATTTACAGTTTGAATTTAACAAAAAAAAAAAATAATAATTCTATATGTACATAGGAGAGTAGCATAATTTTGCTATTTTAGTATATTAATCGTATATTTGGTTTATATTTGAAATTTAATGTCACAGAATATATATATACATGTATATAGTTGTGTTGACATTAAAATGAAAATAGATACATAAATATACGTAAGTTGTGTGTATGTGTCTATTTATGAATATTCAAGTAAATGTATGCTTACAATAGGACTACACAGCGAAACAAGTGACATAAAAAATTCTTTTTGTTCTATTGTTCTTCCAACTCTTTATTTTTTGTTTTTTTTTGTTTTTTTGCATATAAATGTATGTTTTTGCCCTGATAAAAGTTGTATTATTTTTGACCTATAATAGCATTGTATACAGTTAATATTAAATTACAATGACAGCAATAAAGTAAGTAATACATTCATATATATACGAATATGATGAGTAAATTGAGGACATCATATCTTAAGGACATTCTCTATATGTATGTGTATATATACAATTTCAATTTAAAATTTTTTAATTTTTATACAAACACACATTTATTGTTCAGTATAGTACTCGTATATTGAAAGATTAATAAAGATTCATGCATACATCAGTGATTCTATTTTATTTGTTTTTTATTAGAAATACATACATTGTAATTTTTCAATTTACTTGTACAGATTTATAAATTTTACTTAAATTGATTTCTTTATAAATACATGATATTTATGAGTGAGTATATGTGTATAATAAATTAAAAATTGAACATTGTATTTAATATTTTGTATTCATTTCATATTGATTATCGCAATTCTTTTGCATGATTCATACATGGTATAAAATAATATTGTTCATTTTTAGCACTTTTCCAAAAAATTTTTTGAAAAAAGTGCTTATTAGTTTCACTCTGTCCGTCCGTCCGTCCGTCCGTGGACACTTTTTTTGTTTACAAAACTTCTACACCCTTTAAGATAGAAAGCTGAAATTTCATACGTACATAGATCTTTACTAGAAACTTATTTCCGTAGAACAAAATTTTTACCTATCTCCCCCCCTCTAGAAGTTATACCCCCCCAAAACCCTAAAAATGACCTTTTTTAAATATTTGTTGCAATGAAACCATAAGCATTTTTGAAATTTTGCAAACGCAGAAAGGCAGTGGCTTGCTTTCCCTAGCGCGATATATTATAGTTAAACTTTAGAAAAACAAAATGGCCGTTCAAATTGACCGTTATCTAAAGTCCTTTTTTTCCAAATTTTTGATGTCGTTTTTCTCCTATAACCCAGCCTGTAGTAGCTTGAAATTTTAGGAGCTTTTAGACATTAACAAATAGTTCATTTCGTTGGAAGAATATTTTTTTCCATCTCCACCCCCTCTCACGTTATCACCTCTTGAAATTCGTAAAATTTGAATTTTTGACACCTTATATTTCCGAAACCGCAAGCTTTTCCAAATTTTTATAAACGCAAAAAGCTAACGGTAAATTCCATGAAATTAAAAAATATAATTATTTTTCTTAACTCACACAATTAACCCTTAAAATCGAGCATTATGTTAATCCCTTTTTATATTAATTTTTGCTTTATTTCAAACACTGCATATATGCGTCATCCAAAATATATGCAATTCTAGAAATAGTTTCGTTTATGATTGAAAATAATTTTAATAGTGTGGTGGATATACATAGACTGTATTTAAAAGCAGAATTTTCACTTGTTGAAGGGAAAAGTGCTACAATACAAACCATTGGTTTGACCCAACTTTATTAAATTGAAATTTTAAAATTTTTTGTAATAAATGGATATTATATATATATATACATACATATATGAAAACTATAATAACCTTTTTTCAATTACATTGTATAATTTCACTTTATTGCTAGTACATTTAATAATACAATATAGAAACAATGAAATTTGAAAAGAACAATAATAATTTATCAATTAAAAAATGCAATGTTATTGTAAGCTGTTCTATAATGTATTAAAGAGATATGATTTCAGAAATATGATTAATTTATACATAGAGAATGTAGTTACATTCACTATGTAGAGCAAGAAAATTACATAAATTATTTATGTGTACATATTTGAATTTCAAACTTATTGGAAGAGCTACTCATTGTATGGAACATTTCCTCTTTCCTAAGGAACATTCTAAGGAGAATTTGGTTCTGAATGAGAAATGTATGCTGCTACGGAGTAGTTTTTGTGCTTGATCTCTTGAATAGAATTTGTTGCTCTTGTATTCATATGTTACAACCCTGTTTGTACTCAATACTGAAAAGAAAGTTAAAATGAGTGAAACTTTGAATGAGGAAATATTTAAGATTTAAGAAATATTTTAGAGCACAATATTTCATTGTTTGAATTGCATAAATTGTCATAATTATACAAATAAAATCGATTTAATACTATTCTGTCCCATAAATGTCGAATAATGCTTATTTCAATAATTGAAGTCTTTATTTACAATTAAATGAATTAATGCTTTTAATAAATCATTTTTAGTATTAAACAACCGATGAATTTCAAAATCACAGAAAAGGAACATTTGTAAACTAAAGTGCCAATTCGCAAGTTTTTGGTGTTTGATATTATATTGGCGAAGAGAGTGTCTATTTCTATGTTCATTAATAAATTGTTAATTCCTGACAAATAATGCAACATATTTAATTACAAATCATCCAAAATTTGAAAAATTTAGTAAAATTCAATAAGTAATCAAAATATTTTCAAAAAATGTTACCATCTCTGTTCTATATTGATTACAAACAGTAATTAAAAAAAAAAACTTTTAATGCACACCACTGCATATTTTGTTCTAAATAAATGACATGAAAATGGAATTTACTGTACTTGAAAAACAACAGTAAAGTTCAACAATATCTTTTCCATACAAACACATACATATAAACATTGTATAGTTAACAGTTACTTATCTTTTTTGTCATATATGCGTCCTTTGTCTTCATATAGTTTTTTCTTTCTTGTTTTCTTTTTGCTATTCTTCCTTTTTGCTATCTGAAATACAAATAAACCTCTATATATATTTATTATTTAACTTTAATGGTAGTAAGTAATAACTGTTATTCAAAATTCATTTTTAAAATGTAAGTTAAATATACACAACTCCACATACATGCATTACATACTATCTTCGTAATAAAGAAAAATATTGAAATACTTGATACTCCATTCATAAAGGAAGGAAAACGAAAACAAAAAAAAAAAAAAGAAAAACCAAAAACTTTTTGACCCCCTTTTTATTCTTTGTAGGATAAGGATAAAATAAAAAAAAAATTTAAAAAAAGAGAAGGAAAATTGCAAGGCAAGTCGTCATCATCAAAGATATTTTTTTTTTCCTTTTTGTCTCTTTGTACAAATAAAATCGAAATAAAACAAAGAGAAAAAAAAATGAAATGGGAGAAATGAAGGCAAATACAAAAGTAAAGATGAAAATGAAAGGAAAGGAAAATTTCAGTTGCATTGCAATGCTTCAAACTGTTAAAAAATTAAATAAACTTGACGTACTCACATTCGTATATAAACATACTTTCCCTTCTTGTCTATTGATGGCGCTTTTTATCGGATATATTGTATAAAATGCAACATGGTGATGACGATGACAGTAACGATGATAATAAGAACGTTTTAAAAGGCAACACTGATTCTTCTTGTTCTTCTTTTAATTTAACTTCCTTTCATATTCTTTCTTTAATTTTCTTGTACTTTCGAATGCAAACTGTCTTTCAATGACTTGAAAAAAGGATTGAAAGCATTAATTTTATTTATAATAAAAAGATTGCTATTATTTGTTATGAAAAAATATTTGTTATCAACATACATACTTATATAGTTACATAAATATTGTACAGATTTGGCATATAATATCAGAATTCAGGTATATCTATAAATGTAAATTTGTATGATTGATGCAAATGTTATACTTTTGATTAATTTGGGACCAGTTTTCGTACAACGATTTTAAATTTAATTTAAAAAAAATATCATATACTATTTGTACATAGAATCATAGGGGGTTTCCGAACAATGAAAAAATTACATTGTAAATCTTTGTTCTATACACACAAATGCAAATATCTCCATTTGCCATTGTTATATTTTATATGGTATAGAGTTTAAATATCTAGTATAATCGGTGAAAACGTGAATTTAATCAATTTTAGTTGGTATTGTAAAATTATTGTAAAATTGAGTATGCTCATATTTATTTTTAACGATAAGTTTCTCAATAGTCCAAAGTTTCTCAATAGCCCAACTTTCTTAAATTGTTTAAGAAAGTAGAGCTACAAAAATTGTCTTTTAAAAATTAACTTATACTATAGCGCCACAAAATATTTCCATTATTGCAAACTAGATTTTATGTTTGTTATTTTAAGTGTAATTACAACCACTAAGTGTCCTGACAAGTAACAGAAAGAATTTTTGTCCTATGTGTTTGTCATCTTTCCTAAAATCACGTTTATTCAATTCTATTTTCTTTATTTAATGAAAAATAAAATTTAAAGCAAATGTTCAAAAGATAGAAGCAGCAATAAAATCTGATTTAAGTTGTCCAGTACATAAGAAATCGCCTTCTTTAAATGAATTTTTAAAAATATAGCAATAAAATTAAGAGAATAAACGGAAGAGAATTACGTATGAATTTGCAATAGTTGCCACATATTTAATTTTATTTTATTGTTTTAATAAAATTTACACATTTATTTTAAAATGTCAGATTTCTAAAACGCAATTTCTTCGACACTATGAATTTTATGACTTCTTTGAAGACAAAAAGTTTTCATTTAAAAATACGCCTATACATGCCTTAATTTGACCAGGAGTTTAATTATACCAGTATGTCGTACATACAATTTTATATATTACCTTTCTGTTTAATACTCTTCCGAATAGCCCACAACTGGCAAGGTATAACGGTGTTTTATTACTACAAATATTTCAATATGTTGTATTATTAATAAAGTTAAATAAATAAATAACTCTTCCTAAATCTATGCAATAAATTATAAACTAGTATTTGCAATTGATCTGCAATGGTTTTAATTCTTTAGTTTTGAGAACAAAAAATTCTAATTACAAGCTTGATTTGTTAAAAGAAAATTTACAATTTTATGTTAAATTTAAAATACTACGAACTTTTAATATTAACCTATGAACAGTGTTTCAGTATAAACGTAATTTTCTCCTATTTTAACTAAACTTGCAATTCATTAATATACACAGACATAAAATATTATGTTTCTCCTTTTATTAATTTAGGACATCTTAGTGTTGTTTAATTACCTTGCAGAACTACTAGACTTTACTAGAATACCAATTTTTGTTACGAAAAATTCTAATAAACACCAATATAACAAATATTCAATTCTCTATTCCAAAGGAAAAAAAAATAAAGAAAATCAAAAAGATTTTATTAAATTTCATTCGCAATAAACGCGATTTTTTCCTCCTTTGTTATACTTGTATTCTAAATGAAAAAAAGAAAAGAAAATTCCACCCTAAAGTACAAGAGATGTGAAAAAAGAAAAAGCAAAAATTGATCATAATAATTAAAAAATTCCAACAAATAGGACAGGAAAAGGTAAAAATAAAGTTGGAATACAAAGTACAGAGAAAATTTTATTGAAAGACCATAATTCTGTTTTTTTTTTTGCTGTTTTTACTTTATTTTTGCCTGTGGAAAACTTTTGGCTTTACAAAGCATTTTAATATGAAAAACTCAAAAATATTTTCAACTTTATCTCTAGTATTCTTAAAATCTTTTGTTGAAAATTTTTGTTAGGTAAAATAGAAAAAAAAAAGAAAATTTCAAAAGAAAAAAAATTCTAAAAAATTAAATAAAAAATTTTTCTACAGGTTTTCCTTTTTTTTTTTGTTTATAGACAAAGATTTGAAATTTAATTATAAACAGCAAAGAATTTAAATTTATTAAGTGTGTGAACATTAAAAACTGCTCTAATTCTAATTCATTAAAATGTATAAGCGAACCCTTGTATATATCCAAGTTCAGTTTTTTGTTTTGAATTTTTTAAAATTTCATAATATTTTGTACAATATTTTATTTGGTTTTAATTAAATTGATTTTAAACTAACTTTCTAGTCGGTATTTTTAAATTAAAACGAGCTGCTTTAATAATTAATTGTTGTCCAAATTTAATTAAAACCTTAAATATAATATTATTGAAGACGAAGAATTTCTTTGTCGATTAAAATTGTTCTCAAATCATTGTTCTCAAAGCATTGAGACTCTAGTTTTATATTGTTTTATTGATAAAAATCTAAATTGAAACTACTAGTGATAAAATAATGTACTGAATCATATGACACCTCTTAAATTTATTAAATTGTAAGCGCGTAACATAACTCGTTTTACGTTTTATTTGCGAACGTAAATTAGCAAACACAAAATTTCTATATAGTAAAATTATTCCTGGGTTATTCGTTCTTCTCCACGTTATACCCACATTTTATAAATTAGATCAAATAAATTATCTTAAATACTAAAGTAATTTAAGCAATGTTAATTTATAATTTGACAAATTTAACATTGTTACCTTATTACAATCATATTATAATTACAGTTAGTAATATATTAGTTAACAGAATGCATACATTTATAATATAATGTTAACATGGAACATACTAACATTATACATTAATCTTAATTTCGCTCAATTCGAATATTAGGAGTAGTAAAAACACTTTAAAAATGTATCAAATATTAATAACAATCTTGTTTGATGCAACCTTAACATTTATTCATGTATCAGCTCAGAGAGTAAATGTGTTAAGCAAATATTCATTGACATGTTTACTACATTATATAAAATTATAAATATTAGCTACTCATTATAATTTATTTATGATGAAATAATTAATGTAATACTTTTATTTTTTTTTTTTAATTTCAGGTTTAAATCGCCTCAATGAATACATATCGCATTATGAAACACTTAGTTACGATCATGAACATATACACACTAGTCATATGAGGGCTAAACGATCAGTGACCAAAGATCATTATATTAATTTAAAATTAAATGCACATGGAAGAAATTTCCATCTTAGAATAAAACGTGATTTAGAAACATTTAGTGATAAGTTAGAGGTAAGTTATTAAAAAAATTTCAAAGAAAATTCTTTTTTCAATTTCTATACAATAATATAATAAATTTAGATTTTGATTATAATAGTATATTTGTAGAATATAAGTCGTAATGCAGTTAACTGCATGAAGGTCATAATTATATTTGAATAAGTCAACTTGAATTTTTACTTCAAAAAATTTATTTAATGGGCTCTATTTAGAGTTTTTATTTTTATATTAAAAATATGAGTACTGTATGTAAAATTTTCCTAACATTACAGTTAATGTCTCTAACATAATTAATAATTGACCTGGACTTCAATTAATATTAATGTTTATTTAACGTAAGAGAGGGTTAAAAGAGCTATTCATTTGGCATCATAATATTGGTGTACTTTAAAACAAAGCCAAAAAAAAAATTTTGACCTCATTACGAGTTACGATATCTTCATATTTTTACAAATAATCATTAAAATCTAGAGAATTTAATATTAAAATAATCCAATTTAATCAAAAAATATTTAACAATTTAAGGACAACATTAAATTCCTAAAGACTAAGCAAAATTTTGTATTTTCTTTGTAATTGCTTCATATTTATTGGAAACAAAATGTAAAAAATAATTTTCTCTATTTGATAATTACACTTCCAATACAAAACTAAAAAAAAAGAGCAATAAATATATTTCACAGTATAATTCAATTAACCCCTATTCTCACCCACATAAATTTTATTATAGTTATATGATAATAAAATGTACCCATATATAAAATAATAAAAATTATATAAGTAAATAAAATTTTATTAATATTATTATTACTATTATTCTTTTTTATATCATTCTCATTTTCTTTTATTTATATCTTCTTCTTTTCTGTTTTTTTTCTATTATAATAGGTCCACAGTACTAATGGTCCAATAAATGTGGACACATCCCATATATATGAGGGCCATGTGATAGGTGAAAAAAATAGTCGAGTATTCGGTTCAATAATTAATGGTGTATTTGAGGGTAAAGTGATAACAAATAAAGATTCATATTATATTGAAAATGCTAAGCATTATTTTCCAAATCATACGTACAAAACGGAAGGTTTTCATTCTGTAATTTATAATGAAAAACATGTTGAAGATCCTTATAAGGATGTGAGAGAAGGTAAGATTATTATATTTAATTATTTTTATTTATATTTTCATATATTTACATTTGTATTTAGATATTTTTATATAATTATTTTAATAAATTTAATATGAAATGGAATGTAAAAATTTTTAAGATAATTTTAGTAATTTCAGCAATTCTGTTAGAATTTTGAATACTTATTTGAATTTGAATTAATATGAAATTTTCCTTTAATGATAATTGTTATATAATTAAATACAATTTATTAAAAATTTACGAAATTTTTAGATAGAACCATAAAAAAACTCAGTGGCTTCAAGCACAAACGACTTAAGTCTGTTTTAGTGATTTCGAGATAAATGCATTTTAAACTTTAAATTAAATTTTGAAAAAAGTTGTAAAGTTTTTTGAACCAATTTTTTTTTTGATTGAAAGATAATTAAAAAAGGAAGCGATTAACTCACAATCTGAAGTAAAACAACTAATAGTATTCTCATAATTATGAAAAAAGTGAGATAGGCGGTTATACAAAATTTATAAAAAGCACTTTGCAAAGCATAACTCGACTTAGGCGATTTGTGAAAAATTACTTTTGTATTTTCGTCAAACTTAAGTCGACTTAAGCTGTTGTTGCAAAACTGAAAATATGGTTTTAGGTGACTTAAGTTATATTGAAAAGGGAAGAAATATGTGTATTATTTTTACGTTATTTGATTTTTCACTCTTTTTTCAAATCATTGTCATTAAAAACATAAATTGAGGTAAAAAATGAATAAACTTCAAGTAAAAATTATTTCTAAAAGTTTAAAAATAATTTTTTCATTAAATTTAAGAAAGGTGACAGTATCTTTTATTCTCTCTCGGATTCTCCAACTAAATATGGATGAGTATCTGCTAAATCTCCAGTCTTAATCTTTTTGTAAAATTTGTGAACCAAAGGATCAATAAATTGCATCAAGTACTCTAAGTTTTTCTTTTTTTGGACTAATTTTCTCTTCTTCTTCAATTCGAAGTATATCTTGAAAATCTAACTAATTAACACCTCGTCTTAAAATATAAAAAATCTTTGTATAAACTGTTCTTGTAAAATATTTTTGGAAGTCAATTTTTTGAAATCTGTGGTGCGACTCTTTCCACTTAAGAGAATTTCAAAAGGTAATTCAATTACAAAAAGGCTTCATTGTGCAACGGATCTGACAAAGTTGTTACATTATTGTAAAAATGAGCACATAAAGTAATCTCTAAAATGAGTTTATGAGTTTTGTGTTTGTTATTTTATTATGTCCATATGACTTTCTTACTTGTTCATAATGATACTAAATGCGAATTAATTAAAATTTTTAAATCGAAAGCAAACTGAAATCGAGTGTGAGTCATTACAACTACTGTAATGAAAAGTCAAATTTGATAGTGAACTCGAACTCGTATAGAAAATAATAATTCGATACTTGTGACAATTAAATCTTGGAGACGTATTATTAATAGACATATAGAGAATGGTTTGTGAGTCAGTTTTTCTCTAAGTTCTGCCCTAAAAAGTATATAGATCTCTGTAAAAAGTTGTGGCAAAGTAAATTGGTTCGGAATTTGCTCTCCTATCATAGAGTATATAAGTATTTGATTATCAAATAAACAAAGAATATTGTAAGTTTGCTCGACATTTTTATTTTAGCTGTCAGCATTTACTTTTCAATTAACACTCCATACAAATTGACCACGAGTCAGTTTCGAGCGTTCATGTACTTGAGTGCATTCAGGAAGCCCGGTCGCGAAAGATTAAGCGAATTTTTCTTCGGCAAATTGTAAAAGGATTTTTCTTAAAAGAATAAAAGCAGAAAGCCTTTCATATTTTTTTATCTCTACAAATATGTTCACATGCCCAATAGGACCCGAAAACTTGCTTTTGAATGTTGTCAATTTTAAAATCAGGATCGTTAATACAGTCCCAACGACCAAAGTCAATTGCGGTTTTCAAAACTGTATTAACTTCGGTTTTCAAAGTAAGATCTGTTGATGCTTGTTTATTTACTATAGGACCAGTTTCGCTAATTTCTATGCTTTAAAACACTTTGAATCCGTTATGTTAGTTTCAAATGTATTGCAATACCTATAATATCCGCCACAATCATCTCAGCTCTCCTAGCAAGTTCCAAATTTTTTAACGTACATTTATTAAGCGTGAATAAAGTTTATATTGGATAATTTTTGCATTATTTAACAATTTCCAACATCAGCACATTTAAAAACAATAATAAATAACTGTCTTTGTAAAAAATACTTCCTTCGAAATAACAAAAATATCATAAATATTTGAAAATTGAAGAAATTTGATCTCACGGAAATAAGTAATAAAAAGTATAGCAAAATATTGTTATTCCCAGATGTACCAGTTTTATTTATTGAAAACCCTTGCAAATTACAATAATTTGAATTTTCTAACAAAATGTGTTTTACTAGTTTATAATAAAAATATTGCTTTGTAGTACAATAATTAGAATGAAAACTCTTGTTAAACACAAAAATTTTATCTTCCTAATAACATGTGTTTTACAAGGGCGTAATAAGACAACACTTTGTTTAATAATACAATTATGTTAGACCACAAAGGCAAAACAATCTACCATCAGGTAGCTAGCCACGTGTCATTTTAACATGGGAACTCCGTCAATTGAAAAAAACATTTGTCGCAGGTAAATCACGAAATGACCTACAAGATTATTATTGTTAAATAAAAAAATTCAAATCTTAAACATGGGATATTTGGGTAATTAGAGCATTAATAATGCAGGTAACTTCTGCAGATGTTTTATATTTTGTGTTAAAAAATACAACTATCTTACTTGTCGCTGAATATAAGATTTAATTTTAACTATAGTGAACAAGTTTTAAACCATGGACATAAAGTACCTACACTATATATCACATAAAATAATATGTTAAGCGTTATAAAATATTTTTTATTATAAAAAACTAAAAAATATTCTATACTGATCATGTATTATTTCCAACACTAAACGCTTAACTTTGGTTTTTGGTTCTTATTTGCACGCGTTATAAAAACCTAACTCAACATAAGAAGCCTTTTGGAATATAATTGCATTTGCAATAATCGCCTAACTCGAGATGAGTTTAAAAAACCACCAATTATTATTTTACACAAATCGCTTATGTCGAGTTAGTATTTAAAAAAAATCAAAATTAATTTTGCAACAAAAGCCTAACTCGAGATAAGCGGTTGTAAAAATTCATACAAATAAAAAAAAATGTCACTAATTTTGATTTGCAACAATAGCCTATCTCGAAATAAGTGGTTTGTCAAAAACATAAAAAAGATGTTTTCTGCTCCTAACTCGAAATAGGCGGTTAGTGCAAGTGCACATAGCTACCATTTCGAGTTAGGTCATGTGTGAATTCGACAATAACTCCGGCTACAACAGTCGTAGAACCACCAAATTTTGTGAGCATATGAAACTCAAAGCGGAGAATTCGCTGGTAAACATATCTCATTTTTGTCTTAACTCGAGTTAGGCGGTTTGTGTTTGAGGCCACTGAACTATTTCCTAATTATAATTGCTTATGTCTTTGATAATGTAACGAAATTCAGTTCCGAATTTGTTTGAGTTTTAGAACAAAAGTTTTTCGAGTTAAGTAGCAATATTTGAAAAGCAATGTTTTAGAAAAAGTTTTAGTGCTATCATTATTTGGAGAGAATAGAAAAACCTTGCGTTTTTTACAATTTCGAAAAAACTTTTTTGAAATTTTTAGTGTCCCCAATTAATGTAAACGAAGCATTGTTTCGTGAAATTTACGACGAATATAACCGAACCGTAAAATTGTTTCATGGAATCTAGATAAATTAAGAAAAAATAAATTTAAAACCTCGCAATTTCGAAATACTAGTAATAATTTTTGAAAAACTGTTATTTTGTTTTCTAATTTTCTACTATAGTTTTCGAGGTTTTGTTGTTTTATCAGTTGAATTTTTAATTGAAAAGAAAATTATGAAAATTAATTCTCTTTAGAAAAGTGATTGAATATTTTAATATTTGAACAATACTTTTTGAGAAAGAATTAAAAAATAAATTTGGGACATGGAAACTAAACATAAGAATCAGAATTTTGCATTACAAGGGTATGTAAACTCTCATACATACGAATATTTTCAAGAAATTTAAGAAATAAAAATATAATATGGGTTTGGTAGCATCTCGAATGCTAGGAGTTAAAAATTAAAGTCTTCTTTGACAGAATTTCAGTATAATCAAATAGAACCCTAGCTCGGGTCCACAATATTGTAAGAAGGTTCACATGTTGTTCAGTATTACTAAAAAAAATTGAATAAGTGATCTATTGATAAGTATAGGGTATACTTAAGGCTTATCATATTTAAAAATAATAACAGAGATTTATTTTAACAAAAGCCAACACTTATTCATTAAGTTTTCGAAAAGAGTTAATTTCGAAAATTAAAATTAATTTTAAATATATTGTATGTATGTATGAGCATATAACAGTGAAATGAGTACATATATACTTACTTGTTTCACAATTAAAGTTAAGAGCATAATAAATTTAAGTTGAAAAAAAACCCAAACAAAGAAAAAAAAAAATTTTTTTTTTAAGGAAAATTTAAATAAGTACTTGTACATAGTAGCTACTCTTTTTTTGTTCCCTTTATTTCGTTTGTTAACATTAATTACATTAACCGATGCAGAAAATAAAATAACGCCTCTTTAAATTTCAGAACAAATTAATTTTTAACATGCTATCGTGAATTTATGTACTTGTTATATTATACACTATAAAGTAGGTTTACCTACTTTTACTTCATGTTTACATACACGTGTTTATGTATATATGTATACGTTTTATTTTTGGTAAATCCTGTAAAAATTTTCCTTTTACCATTATTTCTGTTCAATTTTGTTTATATTACCAATGTAATAATAATGTAGCATTTTATGTTGGTATTTTGGTAAATATATAACAGTTCATGTGAACAGTTTTTATATGTGGTACATGTATATTATGTT